AGAGTGGTTCCGGGAAGACGCAGCTTTGTCTCCAACTTACGCTAGGAGCTCAGCTCCGACCCTCACATGGCGGACTAGGGGGCTCCTCCGAGGTCATATTCACATAATTCAGCTTCTCATTTTTTTGATTGCAACAACTAGGCAACCTTTATCATGCATCGTACCCCAACTTAATAAGGTTGGAGCCATTGGAGGACATATATGTTGGTGGTGTTAATGATGGTCAACAACTCATCCATGTCCTTGGAGACCTAGAAGCATTTATTGCCATTGATCACACCCGCCTACCAGTGAAACTCATTGTCATTGACTCCATTGCTGCATTGTTCCGATCACAGTATCAGCAAACAAACCCCGATAGATTTCAAACGGCAGTCTGAAATGTTCGTCAACATATCTGGGACATTGAAGGGTTTAGCAAATAAGTTTGGGTTGGCGGTGGTTGTCACCAACCAAGTGGTGGATTTTATCAGCCCACGTGATGGAGTGAATGGGGTGAGGTTGGGAAACTTGGAGTCCCTGGACACATGAGGTAGACGGGTGAATCCAGCTTTGGGACTGGCTTGGGCACATTGCATAAATTCAAGAGTGTTCTTGGCAAGACATGAGCAATCTATTGGGGTTAACATTCGTAATGCTCCTTCAACAACGATATGTAGTCAAACACATAGGACATTTCACCTTGTATTTGCCCCACATGTGGCCTATGCATCGGCCGAATTTGTAATCACAAAAGAAGGTATAGTCGGAGTATCACGGTAACTGTGTCATAAAGGAATTCAAAGAACTTGAATGTTTTGGATCCATTTGGAATTACATTCCAGGCCCTTTAATTTCGCACTCAAATTATAATAGCAATATGGAAGTAATACCAGTGCAATAAAAGTACAATATAATGGCAATCTGGACGCAACACAGCATGTTGTAGCAATGCAACCCAAATTATGCAAATGTAAAAGAATTCCCATTCAACATAACACGAAAACCACCGCAAATAAAAGTAAAGTTGACATGACCTACCAAAGCAACAGAAATCATATTGTCTAAGATACATTGCGCACTGGAATAGTGTTTTTACAGGTGCTTTTATTGTGGCCTGCGGAACCACACCTTGAGCACTTTCTTCTAATGGTGCCCTCTCCTTGCGAGGGAATTCTTATCTTCTTTCGTCTGCCTGGCATGACCCTTGCAATGGGAGGCAGCACAACTCGACTTCGAACATCTTCAGGAATATCCCACATTCCGTGAGGCTGTATCGGGTAGATGCTATCCGAATAAGCATCCATCCAGGTTTTCCGAGTGTAATACCGAGAAGCCTTTGAGTATACATTTACTTTCAAGAAGCGGCAAACTGCAACTACATGCTTGCAAGGTAGCTGCTCAAGCTGAAACTTTCTACAACTGCAAGTGTTGTTCGTCAAATCTACGAG